TTCTATACTATATGGGAGGTTACCAATAATTATTCTGGAACACATTTATATTTGTTCCTCTTTCTCTTTCTAGAATTCATTTTAATTGGACTACTTCATCAAGTCTTTAATATCGTTAACCTCCCTTCCCCCTACCCCTGACTGGGAGTCTCTGCATTTTTCTTTGATCTTTCTAAGGTCTTTTTGACTGTTTTTTTTTTCCTGACCATATACTAGTTTGAAATTTTTCTGTTAATATATTTTAATTTCTGAGTTTCTTCTCAAGAGGCAGATTTCTCATTTTTGTAAAGAAAAATCTTCTCTGGTTTGATGGGAGGAGATGTACATTTTCTTGTCTTATCCCAGAGTCTGGTAAATTTAAGTACCTGTGTGGTTGGTATTTTCTTCTCTTCCCTGTGTTGGCTCATTTCTTTCAAATGCTTTGTTTGACTTTCCATAGTTCAGCCCCTTGCTTTCTACTAGAGGCTTTTGTAGATGCCTGACCTCAATGGCTATTTCCCCATATTTAAACGGGAGGTATTAAGTGCACGGTTTACAAGCTTGACATTCATAGGCAGGGCTTAAGACTAAGAGCCTCATTGTTGGTTGGACAATCCAGTGAGGTCTGAGCAGGTTCTGAAGGGCTGAGAGTGGGGGAGGGGCACTGAATGCTTCAATCCCGGATGTTTATCTCTTACAGTGTACAGATGCTATGGAAAGGACTCTGCATTCTGTCTAGGAGGTTATGATTGTCCCTCCACGCTCTCAGAGGTGAGAAGCTGAAATAAGGCCTTCAGCTTCTCTGCTGATGTCTTTTCTGGAAAGACTCTCAAACTTTGGTGAGTAGAAAAAAGGTTGTGAATTGACTGTGAACCCAATGGTGGGCCATAGACATCTACCTGCTTCCAATCCAGTCACAACAAAAACTACTTACTATCTGAAGTTCCTTCTCAAGTCCAGGAGCACCAGGGCTTTCTAAGTGCTGGGACTTTGTGAGCATCTCTGGTGCAGGCCAGCCCCGCCCCGTTTCACCATTTATATTCTTGTGTTTCAATTCTCCTTAGCGTCACACAGTTTACTACTTTTAACCTTCTTGGACTTTGCTGACCTCTTTCTTCTATCATAATTTGTTTTCTTTTTCCTAGTGAAATTTATTACTATTTTTTTCTTTTTCTGGGGATTTGAGGAAGCAGCAGAGTAAAAACAAAAAGAAGGAGCATCAAATCTATCTTCAAAAACAGACGTGTTGGTTTTGATTTTTACCATTTGATTTATTTTATTTACTATTTTATTTATTTATTTTAGCATGCACAATAATGGGATTCATCATGACATCTTTGTATCTTTATACACATAGGTCATTATACTTCCTTCTTATTCAAGCCCCTCCCTTGCCACCCTCCATCAGGTCCCTCCCTCCTCCATCATGTGATCTTTTGAAACATTTTAAAACTGATATGCACATTGACAATATTTACATTTAGTTTATATTTAAAGCTCTTGTGCTGACATCTGAACTATGAATCACTAACCATCAGGACTTCTATTAAAATACGATACCAAAACATTAAACACTATTGTTTTTATCCCTTGTTTTGAATCAATAATTTATCCAACTGCTATAGTTTTACTTCTTTAGAGAAAATACTAGTAACTATCCTACTCCCCTGTTTTAATATCTGACTGGATACTTTTAAAGACTGTCATCTTTTTAACCATATAATATTTTATATGAATTCAAGACTATGCGCTAAATTGTCTCATGTTAGTGAAGTACAGGCTGTTTAGTAGGAAATTGGAAGCAGTCTTAATGAGCTTCAACAATGATGGGTCTAAAGTAGTGTGAAAACCATCAGATGAACTTCTGCAGTTGATTTATTTGAGTGTCTCTACTGTAAATGTCAGTTTTTCTTGTGGTCAGTGACATCAATTAATTGAAATCAAAATGCAGAAACATGCAGATGCCTGTTTTAACAAGTGCATGCAGCATGGCCTGTGGTAAGTTTTATTTTGCAAACATTGCCTATTCTTTAGAAGCTAGACAGAAAGCAAGTGTAGACATGAAATGAGCAAGTGGTGTTGGAACTAAGGAGGGAGGTTTTGGGTGTTCCTTCTTATCCTGACAGAGAGGGTTTCTCACACATCTATAAGGAAATAAACATAAGTGGATCTAGTGATCTTGCATTTAGTATTGTTTCATTCAGTATTTAAAATGTGCATGGTATAAGTTCTTCATTTTCTTCTACTACTGGGGATTCATTCACTACCTATTTACAGAAAATGCTCAAATATTTGCCAATACTCTTCTTACCTATCTGTTACATTTCTAACACAGTCTCAATGGTTTTCCTGAGCTAACTTGAAAGCTTAATCTAATATCAATCAAATTCCATTCTAACAAACCTAAAGTCCCTCATATATTTCTTAATACAGTTACCAACTAGGAAGTGACCTAAGTGAGATGGCTTAGTTATATTCCATTGCCAATAACAGTTCTTTTATCAGTGACCAATAAATAAATGGGCATATATCCAATGCTTTCAATTTCTTTCAGTCTGTCTGATTGTGCAGTAAATTCTATGTATTCTACTCCAAATTCAATCTGCTTTCAAGATGTCCACTTTCGTTGCTTGCCCTGTAACTGCTTTAATGTAGATCCTCAAGCCTCCCAAGAATTAAATCTATGGCATCAGTGCCATATGTGACATGTAGCACAGATTTCATCATTTTTGTTACTTTGGTTTAAAACATATAACCTCTCACTTCTATCCACAAAGCCAAATTCTGATTTCTCTAGTCTTTCCAATTCTGGATGCAACTTTTCTCATCCCTCCTGACGGAGTCTTTCCCTAAAATCACATCTTTCTACTGTCATTCCACTGCAAAACTTCTCATGTACATACCTTCGATAATATGATTTCTAATCTAAAATGGTGCTTCTTTGTGTTTTCTAGCCTGTTCATCCTTAGGTTCCTAATTTGAATACCTCCATCAGTTAAGTTTTCATGCTTTGGGTCTAGCTCTCAACAGTCTAAAGTGTATTGCAGTTATGTACTCATGTATCTGCCTCTCATAAAAGGCCTGAAATCATAGCTCACAGTATATACTGGAGAAAGGTTTTCAGAATTAGTCTCGAATAAAAGCCATTTGTATATGATCTGGGAAATTATATATAGATTTCAGCACTTAGCCAAAAGAATAAGCTGAGATGCAACTAGAATGCCTTGAAAACCGAAAGAATGTGAAAACATTTTAATGTAATCTTTTATATGATATGGATTAAAATTTCAAAAAAAAATGAGTTTCACTGGAAAATAAGACTTATTTTGTAATTTTTAAAATGAAAATATGATTACATCATTTCTCCACTCTCCTTCCTCCAACCCCTTCCCCTGCCACGTGTTCCCTCTCTTCCCCCCAAATTCACAGCCTCCTCTTCTCCAATTGTTGTTGTCATTCCTGCTTGTGTGTGTGTGTGTGTGTGTGTGTGTGTGTGTGCACGCACACGTGCATGTAAACACACAAATGTATAAATACAACTTCCTGAGTCCATTTAGTGTTGATTGTCTGTATATGATTTCAGTGCTGACCATTTGGTATTGGATAGCCAATGAGGGGCTCTTCCCTGTGGATGACAATTTCGCCCTCTCTCAGAAGTTATTAGTTACCTGAAAAGTAGGATATAAGGAGATACACTCTGGAGCCCCCAGCTCTTCTGTGTTCTTTTCCATGCCCTTTGGAATCTATGGACCAGGGAGGGAGGTTTGTGCAGGCTACAGGTCTGTGTTTTCACTCTTCCTTCTTCATTCCCTGGAACTCTTTCCCCCAATGGTTTGTGTATTCTAAGTGAAGCCCTAAGAACCTCAGTGCTTAAGATGAAATAATGTTGCTGTAGGGCGGAAAGCATTCTATTCCCCTATTTTTTGAAAGGTTTTATTTTCTATCAGGTCCTCTAGGGAACATGAGTTCTCCCTTTGCTGTGTATTCTCTTTTCTTAGAAAAGGGGAGTTGGAGGAGAGGAAGCAGGCTGTTCTGCAGTATACCTCAGCCTCCCCTACGTCCAGCCCTGTGTTGCAATGATCCCATTTATAATGTGCCCACTGGACAGGTAGCATGGTGAGAACATTCTACATCTGAATTTTAATTATATTGGTAGTAAATACTCCTTGTTAGCCCAGAGGAAGTCACTCTTCAGGTTTGCTTTCTTTTTGTAAAGAAGCACTTGACACAATTAGAGAGAAATTATCAAAGGGCAGAGCTGAGACCAAGTTCCTATCTCAATCTTGATGTACACTTACCTATAAGAAAGTAGTAATTATACTTACTAAACAATGGTATTAGGCTATGCTCCAGCAGAGGGATGTTCTTTCTTTTAACTCTTGCTGTGGTTGTTGGTGACTGGGTCTCACTATGGAGCTCTGATTGGTCTTGTACTTGAAATAATCATCCTGCCCCTAACTCCCAGATGCTATGATTAGACTCATAAGTCACCATGCCTGGACCTCCTCTAACTCTTTGTTTTAACTTTAAATCTTTACTTCTTATTTTACATGTATGTAAGTTAAAAAGACCCCATATGTAACTTCATCCAGTTCCAACAAATTCTAATTTTATGGCCAATCTTATTTTTCTAAACTTTATTCGTATACTCCCAAATTATTTTAAAGCAAACCATATATTTCATTAATAAGTATTTATAAAGATACAGACAGGAATTTTAGTAGCAGTATTGTAATAAAAGAGAAAAAAAACAAGAGTTTGCTTTAATTAATTAAGTTCATCTTCTACCTGGGATACATATTTTGTTACTGTAAAAATTAAAGAGATGTGGGGTTTCCATAGCATACTGAATTTGCAAAGTTTACATGGATGTATGATTATGTGAGCTAACTCTGTCCTGGTGATTAATCTCCTCCGTACACAATAGCACTAGGGTTCAGGAACGCCCCTCTTCTGGTCACCTAGTAACTTTTCACTGGTCAACAACAAGCCGAATAAACTCTTAGGTTGCGGAAGAATGTTTCGCTGACTTGGATCATCTATGAGATTTTAGAAGAAATAACCATTGCTAAGTTTGAACGTGCTAAACCTTTAGCAGGAGATACATATATTATTTCTGGAGCTTAAAAATGGATACAGAAGACAAGGGCTTAGGTAAATTAGGACAAATACTGAAGCAGATTTGGAGACAAAACCAAATGCTAAAGCAGGCTCTCCTGGGTGATAGTCTCTGTGAGGTGGCTGGGGGAGCCACTTGGCTAGTCACAGTGATCTTTTTGGGTCAAGGGCTCAGTGAAGCCCTTCATCAACTGTTGGAACACACTGTAGGGACTCTTCAGTCTACCTGCCAGCAGCTGCATATACTACTTGACAAGGATAATCAATGTGTCTGGAGACAAGGCAAGTAGTCTGTTTTGTTTGCTTGGGTTTGTACTTTCTTTTGAAATACTCATCTGGTCAATATTTAAGAGGAGCTATGTATAGAAACAAGGAAGGTAGAATCTGTTTACAAAAAACTGATGTTATTATAGAGAAAGTAGAGGAAGACAGTATCTCACAAGATTTAAACGCTCCTCCTGTTGGGGAACAGTTGAAGTGTTTTCAGGCTTCTCTGGTGGCCAGGAATCATATTTTAAGGAAGGGAATTTACGGCTCTGCTAGGAAATATGTGGTATTTAAACTGACGCCTAAACAACTAATTGGAGCCATGCAACTGGATATTCAGGTGCTTGGTCTGTTATTTGCAAGACCAAAGCCTTAGAGGAAGGAAAGTCCAGGACTAATTAAAGCAGAACAGGCAGTTTTTCTATATTGGAAGAGCATGTTCTAATTCCAGAGTCATTTGAGCCTAGTGCTATTAATTACAAAAACACTGGAAAGACTGGATAAGCTAGAAGAAACTGGATCCCTACACACTGAAAGTAGGATGTAAATTCTTGGGAATATGACCAGGTGTGTGCACTAAAAAGTACAGTAAGCATGGGGGATGCAGTATCTGAGGACTGTGGTCCTAACATCGATGCTTTCAGAATCTAGGTGGCAGTATGAAATCCAGCTCTCAGACATATAAAGTCATGTCAAGGTGAGCAGGTGGACCTCAGTCAGGAATCCAGAGTAGACAGCACTAAGGAGTTCAGTCTAGAGGCCAAATAGTGAATATCAGAGAACCTCTCCCAGAGCATGTGACCCCAGGACCATCAGCAGGAGCTCACCGCCAGTCAGTCTCTGGAAGGATTGAACCCAGTCCTAGACAACAAGCTAAGGCAATTAGTAAGCTACCAAAAAGGATGAGTTCAAAATAAACATGGGATCTCAGGCATCAGACAAAGACCAAGTTGTCAGAACTGTAGTGCAAAGGCAAGTCCAGACTAGTGGAAGGATGATTTGGTGACAGTGAGATGTGTGATCTTTGGATACAGACTCCTGACTCAGAGCTGAGAGTCTAGAAAGGTTCAGCCTGAGAGAAGCTTGCGAAGTGAGATGCACAGATAGGAGCTTAGGATGGAGTGAGAAATGGATTGACTCGGGTTTGATGATGCTTACTTAGCCTTAGAGTAAAGCAATTTGTCTTAGTTTGGTATTCATTGATCAACCATTGCAGGGTCCAGTCAGAGAATGATACGGTAACGTTATTCTTTGAAAGAACAATTTGGCATATTTTAATGATCACGTGCTCAGTAGGGGAAGGATTGAATTTCCGACCAAAATACAGCATCTGTGTCATCATAAATAACATAGCTGTTGCTTTTCTGCTATTGACCTGTCCTGGGTGTTCAGATAAATATATGTCTGATATTTGAAATGGACAATTGATATAGTATAGTATCTCCCAAGGCAAAGGAACAACTGTCAAATATTCCAAATGACTGAGGAGTTCTTGCCTCCATCCTTATTAAGGAGAAGGATCCTCACATTTTTCTATAAGGTTTAAAGCATACTTCTGGGGAAAAAAGGGCCAGTTTCACTACTTGGCTACTATGTTAAAAGTAGAGTTTCTTCCCTTGTAGTTATAAAAAGGTTAAAAGCTGGCAAATTGTGCAGATACTTCCCTCATCTGTGCAGAAGCATAATTTGACTTAGTTTTTACTTCTTTTTTGTGTGTCTACATGTGCAGAAATTATTGCTTTCATAGACTGCCTCATGAAAATGAATGAACATTTGGGGAACAGTGCTATGCTTCTAAGGAAAGAAGAAAAGGAGATGTGTAATTTATGCAGCATGCATGAGGACCGTACTCCACAGCAGACAATATCGGCCATTCAAGATACCAAAGCAACAGACATTGCTCCAAGAAGGGAACTAAATGTCATGGAAACAGCTACTGTTTCTCCTACAAATGCAGAGGAACGTCATTACACAAACCAGGTCCAGTTAAAAGAAAATCAAACCCAGATAAATTCTGAATTAGGGGGGAAAGAAAACAATGCATCATTGAGTGGAAATGTAATAGGGCAAGAAGAGTCACAGAGCACAGTGTTCCCAGATAATGCAGAAAATGAAGATGAAAAACAAATAGAACACATGACTGCTGAGAACATAAATGGCAACAAGGAAGACATTCATGATGCAATCCAGACAACAACAAGGGAAACTCGAGAGACCTCAGAAAACCGAGGAGAAGAGATTATTACATCCCCAGCAGCATGGGATGTCTCCAGTAAGGATGTGAATAGTCTTCATAATGACTCAGAGAGTCCAAAACAAAAGAATAACATAATGGAGAAGGAGTAAGTAAAGACACCGTGAGAAATGTTTATATAAGCCTACTTCTACATTCATTTCTGTAGTTCTTAAATGCCTTAAGCCTGCTGCTATGACACACTACCACAAACTGGTTTGTTTTGAGTGAAAGAAATTAATATCTTAGAGTTCTAGAGGTGGAGAGACAAGAAAGGCACAGGAGATTCGGTGTCTACTGAAAGCTTACTGATTCACAGATGGTACCTTCTTGTTGCATTCTCAAATGGTGTAAGGGGCAAACCAGCTTCAAGGTCCTTTATTAATGATGCTAATCCTATCCATGAGGACTGTGCTATGACCTAATTAGGTCCTGCAAAGGCCCTGTTTCCTAACAGTCCTCTATGGGATAAAAATCCCAACATATGATATGAGGGAATATGTAATGAAGTTTTATATTTTTGTGTCATGTCTCCAAAATTTACTGAAAACAAGTGATTCAAGTTAAAAATCAACCCACAGAAATTTATGTGGCTGCTATTGCTAATATCATTCTGTTCTTCATTGTTTTAGAAAATACTAATATTAAGTAGTGCTTTAAAGGAAAAATAATTAGTTATGAAAATAATTCAGAGCAATTGTTCAGATCATGGACACTTTTCTAAATAACAAAATTCAGTTTCTAATAAGAAAAAAAGAAATTTCAGAATGTTAAAAAATTAAAAGACAATTTGCTAATATGATTACGATTATCTCTAAGATAATTGTCATCAGTCTTTAAATCTTGCCTTCAGAGCTCCAGGGGATTTGTGGATAGGCTTTTCAGAGTTCTTAAAGGTAAATATGATGGTCACACCTATTCAACTCAGAAAATTGTCAGAAGTTTTTTGTTTGTTTGCTTTTTTTTTTAATCAGATTCTCTAAAAGTCCATGGAATAAAGAAAGGGAGAAAGATTAATGTATTTTATGAGCTATCTCCCCACCACTGCAAGGTAGCATTGATTCTTGATTTGTCTAAATTGATAGTTTCTAACTATATTTTCCCAGATAAATGCAACATCTTCCTAAACAATGTGATATAGTGGGGAAAATATTTGGGGAGCAGGACAAAATTAATTTTTATTTGCTGTCTTATTATTAGCAAGTTATTTTGAAACTTGCTTCGTGTTTTCTTTTTCCTTCTTTTTATTTGTGTGTTCATTTTTTATCTCAGTTTCTCAGTGTCTTCTTCCTTGGTGCATGTGATTAGCAAATGAGACAGTCACAGAGGGGCCTTAGTGTTGGGTCCCTCTGTCAGTGTTCACACTCAGCTAGGTGTTAGTATGTTATTTGATGTCATGCCTTATTAATAAAAATAATAGTCTTATTAATAAAAACAAAAAAAACAGGAGCCAAAAATTGGGGTGAAAAGCAGAGATCAGAGGAATAGACAAGCCACAGCCAACCTCACCTTACCAACTCCTCAGCCTCCAGAGAGAGCTACTTCCTGTATTCTTATGCGTATATACCTTTCTGTGCCCTGCCATCTTACTTCCTGTTTGTCTGTACAGACCTCCAACCTCCATGTATAGTGCTGGGATTAAAGGCGTGTGCCACCATGCCTGGATCTGATCCCAGTGTGGCCTTGAACTCACAGAGATCCCGATGAATCTCTGCCTCCCAAATGCTAGGATTAGAGGTGTGTAACCACTGACTGACCTCTATGTTTAATATAGTGGCTAGCTTTTTCCTCTGATCCCCAGATAAGCTTTATTGTGGTACACAAATAAAATATCACCCCACAGCCCAGCTACTTTCACTATCCTACCACTCCTCACTGCTGTTGTACACCTGTATCCTTCTCGGCATAACACGCTGATGGTCTACTGTGTAGGCACACAACACCGTTCCCAGGAAAACATCACCGAGTCTATGTTCTTCAGCAAGTACTTTGCTTACCTTAAACATAGGACTCTATAAAAACAAAATGAAAAAAGAAAGTAATGTATCCCCAGCAAAGAGAATTTAGTGAATTCTGTCGATGAATCTTTCAAAGCATGAAGACCTCCATGGTTTGCAAGAATTACTGTCCCTGACAAACAACCTCTAAAGTTGTCAATATGTGGTTTCTCATTTCATTTGAGAAAAACATTGACACTTCACATCCTCCCATTCAGAAATGACTCAAAACAGCACCTCGTGAGTCATTGCCGGCACCACTCCCTCTGACACCTACTTTAGGTGTTCCCTGGTTAGCGACTGACTTCCTCTGTGGCGTTGAACCAATTGTGCTTGGCTTGCATATTTACCAAGATGACTCTTCATTGCAGTCCCCCAGGCTAGGAAGCCATCACAGCACATAAAAGTATATGCAATAAACAAAACCTTGCATGGGATCTTTTGTGGTTCCTCAACCTTCAGTTTCCCAAAAGCCCCATCCTTTGGAGGTAGCTATACTAAAGTGTACACAAAGAGAAAAAAAAACACTAAACTAATGTAATCTATTTAGTAACAAGACTAGTCATCGTTGATTAAGACTGTAGAGGTTGGATTTATTTACAAATCTCCTGTACACTTTATCTGTCATTTGGGAACCACACCTTATAGAGGTGGGGTGCATTGAGATGGTCTCCAGGATAGAGAAGAGGGCATTCCTGGACTTAAATGAAGCCAGTTCACTGAATCTTCTGCTGAATAATGTTTCTTTTTTTTCTGAATTATCATTATCTCTATGAACAAAAAAGTTAAGCAGATCAGCGTGCTGGAGATCTTTTTATAAGTTCAGAACTGTGTACATAAATAAATGACCTCTATGAGTTAAATGCTTAATTATATTTCCTTATGAAATTATAAATTATATTTAGCAGTAAACTTTGAACTGTATTAACAGTAAAGGAAAAACAGCTAAAACTTTATTAATATATAACTGAGAAAATGATGTTGTGTTATACATAGATCCTGTCATATACCTTCAACATTGCCTTTGTTTCCATTATTTCTCTGTTGTGAAATAAATATCAAGAAGAGAACCCCAAGTGGATGGTGTTAACATGGAGATCAAACCATTAGTGATCATGCAGTTTATTCAGATCCATTACATTTTAATAGGTTTAAATATTAGATCTCATCCAAACTTCACAATATCATAGATTAGATATTAGTTTCAAGCTGTAATGGATGGAGCAATCATTACTTAGGGAAGATCTGAGAAAGGAATGACAATATTTGAGAGCTTTTACTTCCACATTAAGAAGCAGAGAGTCAACGTTTACTTCTAAAATTGAACATCTATGAGATTTGTAGCAAGTTAAAAATCTCAGCCTCAGTTTCCCTGTCTGCAAAATAGTAGAGATAATAATACTTGACACAGAAGCTATAAAAATTAAGTAAAACTATGTGGCTAAAACCTGACCAACAGGAAGCATTAAACTATTGACTATTCTGAGAGGTTGTGGTATTTATGGGCAAACAAATAGGAAATGGCCAGTCTCAAATTTGAATTCAAATTTATAAGGCACTGAAAATCTTTGCAAAGATGGTGTTGAAGAGAAATAAAATAGTTAAACTTTTCAAATGATAATCTGAGGATTAGAAATCTATTCCTGCTTAATAGGATTAGTGTACCAAAACTTAAATATCACTATTTGACCTCGTGTACTTGGACAATTTCTGTGCTTCATATTCATCACTTCTTGAGGTAATAGGCATCATACAGATCCCTTGCCAGTAGGTAGACAGGCAAATAAATAAGAGGTTTTAGGTAGATTAATGTACTTTATACTTAAGCATTTAAGATGGGCAACTTCCTTATTCTTCTTCCTCTCCAAGTCAAGGACTTGGTGGCCTTTTCCCCTCCAGATGGAACTGTTTAGAATTTTCAAGTCTCCCAGAACAGGTGGTGAGTCAGGAGTGAGGGCCTATGGAAGGGAGCAATTAGCTTTTCTTCTTTGTCTGGATTATTCAGTTTCCTACAATCGCCCAAACTAGCTACTTTTGAGGAAGAAAAGGAATCTACTCTACCCCAATCATATATAGAGTCTGAATACCTCTGCACTGTTTTTGTCTTATCTCTCTGTCTCCCTTTTTCTTTCTGTCTGTCTTTCTCTCTGTCTGTCTCTCTCTCTCTCTCTGTATGAGTGTGTGTGTGTGTGTGTGTGTGTGTGTGTGTGTGTGTGTGTGTGTGTGTGTGTGTATGTTTGTGTGTGAGGGGTTGTGTGTGCATGCACATGCATGTGTACTTTTGATTTCAATAAGACTGGATGAATGCTGGGACTTTCCTTTTTCTGAATTTTTACTTTTAAATCAGAAAAAAAATTCATTCTTGTAATCCTAGAGGACCTCACTATAAAGGCATCTCTCTCCTCACAGTTAAGTAAACTATTAATTTATTTAAAAACATCATTAATTTTAGAATTTTAGTATAGGATGAACAATAGTGAGGAATAAATCAATCACTTTGATAATAAAATTAGTCAAAAACAGTTATAGCTTATGTGAAGTAGATGTTGCTTTCACCCCATATTACAGGAAATTGTGGTACACAGAGGTTTAGCATCTTTTTGATTACAGGGTTAATAACTAGGAACATTAAAGTCCACATCAAGGCAATGTGCCTCACACTTTGTGACCTTCTGCCTTTGTCTATAAAGTACATGGATAGAATGGCTGGAAAATGAAGCTTGCTTTTTTTTTTTCCAGGTATCTTGATGTGCTGAGCGCTGGGACTGACCCTCAAGTGTCTTGTTACATCACAGCACCATCGCATGTCCTGCAACAGTTGGACTGCCAGATAATTAACAGCATGAGCTCCTTTATAGTGAGTGCTAACGAAGAGTTGGTCAGCAACGTCATCGCTGTTGAATGCTCAGATAAGGAAAAGAAAATCCCATTCCCAGTATGCATTGCAATTCCTTTCAAGGCAAGCTACAAGGGCAGTTACAGAGACATCCTGGTGAAAATGACAGACACAAACTTTCAATCCAGTTACCTAACGCCAAGTTCACTGGAAGGAATGAGGGGAACTTCTTACAAGGTCAGTAAGGCCTGGGCTACAACTGTATTTGTTTGTTTCCCTTCCCTTCTTGTAACTCAGAATATTATGCAGTAATGTAGTAATAATTGTTCCATTATATAAGTGTGGACACATTTATGTTAGAATACTCACGTTTTTTTTTCCCTAAATAACGTCTATGAAGCTCAAACAGTAGAAATTATTTGCCAAAGTTAGTAATAGAGAATGGGTCTAGGACTCACCAAATATTCCTTTCTTTCTCCTAGAAAACAACCAGCATCATAGCTTCATTCACTTCATAGTTCATGCTAACTTCATAATTACGTATCTACTGTGTTGGACTGCTGCCCACACAGAAGCATTAGAATCTTCAGATGCTATAGTTTTAGTTTTTATTATTCATAGGTTGGGAGAAATATATATATATATATATAATGGAAACTGTGTATGTGAATGCTCTGATGAATTGATTAAATTTATAAATGGATTTTAATCTACACATTGAGGATTGTGTTGTTAGTCACTGGGATGAGGGCAGTAAAGGAAGAAATGTGGTTCCCACATTTAGCTACAGTATAAATTCAGATGGATCAAGACACCTCTCTGTGACTCAGAGCTTTTATTTGAAAAGTAATATAATAATGTCTGCCTGATAAGACGGCAAAAACTAAATGAACAAACCACTTAAGAAGATGGGAAAGTCTTTATACAAGCGAGTTGTCAATAAGTTTTCACCATGTGAAACAGACTTTATTGTAATAATATTAAGGCTCTCTATGTCACAAATTCAAATGTTGCTGAGACAGAATCCAGAATTACTGAATTTAGTATTAGAGAATTAATGAGGATTCAAGTTGAGTTTTCTGTGGGCTACTGAATTTATTTGTAAACAATTAAGGTGTTTATGTTTTTATATGCAAATGTTTCTTATTTGGTGGGAACAGAAAAGAATACATGTTAAAATCTTCATAATACATTCTGTCCTTTTGGTTTGTTTACAAATCAAATCAAGGCTACATAGTTGAATAATAAAGCTAAGTCTGTTTTCATTACTCCTATTCATGCCACTAATACCTGTTAGATTTAGACTAGCTGCCTGTGAATATGGGAGTCTGATTAGCATTGCTCTGGAGCAGGCCTCTCAATCTTGGCGAGTCTGTGTGTCCTTTATAACAAGTACTTTAGAAACTGCTCACAGTACAAGTGCCTTTCCCAGATGGGCTCAAAAGATGTTTTGTAAATGAATAATCAAGACACAAGAAAAATTAAGACGATCATTGTTTACCAGAAAACTGTACTCTTCTTTACATAGTAGGCTAATGAGAGTTATCTCTAATTTTAGCTCAGGAACATTTGAGTTCTGGACCCCTTCCAAAGTTTTATGTGGGTCCTATGACATTTAAATGCTCTAATTCTCAAAGGCCTTTTTAGTTTGCCGGGTATCTGCCAAATGTGGTCTCAGTGCTCAGCAACCACCACTTGTTCCCAGGAGACCTTTTCTTCTCACTACTTTCCCTCTGGCCACTGAAGCAGGATCATTGTGCTCCGAATTTTCCCAACTGTGATATTGTGAAATGTTTTCCTTAGTCAGCTTTCAAATGGCAGATTATTTTCCAGTGTGAATAACCCTGAAATGTTTGTGTGTGTGCATGTGCTATTATCCACTCATGCTGGGTGGAGTCTAGCTGGTATTGGGGAATGCATGAACAGAGCAAATTATTTCTTGGTCTGCCTCCTTGTTTAAAGCATTGATGATTATACACATAGATCATTTTCCTTCCATTTATGGACTCAGTTCCATTTTACATGATAAAACTGTTGAGTATGTGCTTGGATACATGGTTATTTATTTTAATATAAATACAGAAGAAAGACACAGTGTATTACTCTGTAGTTATGTGTTTCCACTGGGGAAAGAAATAGAGACAATAACTTTTTATGGCATCTGAAGATGTTGTGATCTGTCAGAAGAAAGAATTTTTCGGACAGTACACTTGCTGCAATGTTAAAGTAAAATGCCCAGGAAATAAAATTCTATCCCTTGGAATTCTGTAAAATTGCATAGAAACTTCTAGACAAGTTCTATATATAAAATTCATTCTATCCCAAAAAAAAAATCATTCTAGCCAAAAATGGCTAGGATTTCAGAGTAACTAAAACTTGTGAAGATATTATGACTACCTATTATACATGTGTGAAGATTTAATTTAAGTTACAAAATAAATTCATTTCTCATTTCTCTATTGGGAAGTTCAAGCTTAAGAAACTCTTAACATCTCCTTATCCTTTCCCAAAAAAGATCATATCTTAGTGAATGTGATCTCTCCACACCATGGGAGATTATGGGTAGCATATACATTTTTTGCTTGTTTTGACAGCCCACAGAATATGTGTTATATATGTATTTTTCCAAAATAATGCTAATTGCTTGCTTCAGTAAAGTGTCTTTTACTCCGTATAGGGGACTTGTGCTGCAGTGAATGTTTACAAGTTGGGTATGTTTTCAGTAGTGTCATGTTTAAAGAAACAGTCTTTCACAGTAACGAAAAAAGGACTCAATCTAAAATCAAGCGTAGATGCCCGGATAGCCTTCAGTTATCCTGCAGGAGTTTTCAACTCACCAGTGCTTGTCCAGTTAAAGGTAAAAATTAAAAAGGTAAATTAATTATATTCTCTGTCTAGCGGGCCAGCATGGTCCTACAGATGCAGAAATTGTAGATTTGTCATATATCCATGAAGCTTATCTTCTCTTATATGCGGACTCATCTATAGTGAGTTGAGTGATACAGTAAATACTTTGAGCAATCTGAAACACACCTCTGCTTTTATTTACAAGGCTTTCCTAAATAGTCTTCTGTATTATTTGTTTATGTTTGTTGGCAAACATATGCTGAATGTCTAGAAAACAATTGCTGACAAATTTGGGGGTATTTATATAAATCCAGATTTCCAAATAAATTGATGGAAAAAGATAGGAAGCTACTGATCCATTCAAATGGTTATTATCATGAATTTTTACTGTATTTACTAAAGAAAATCAGCTTTTTTGGACAATAATTTAATGTACACAAACACTATTTTCATAACGTGTAATGCCATATGAATATACATCCCAGAAAATTTATGTTCTCCAGTGGGATTCCTTATCATTCCAAGCCTTGTTCTTCCCATTTTCTCTTTCCTATTTCTCCCAGTTCCTATCACAAATAGTAAGTCAAGGAGAAAGATTGGGAAGAAAGCCTAATTGTAATAATGTATTTGAAAATATTTTCTATGAACTTTGACTTGTGTTAGTTTTCTTCTCAATTTTGTGCTGATCGCATGATCTAAGAATAGTGATATTTAGAAATTACACAAAATGTCACTTCTGTTTCCTTGATTATGTTGTTGTTTATAGTTGAGTGTTTCTAAAACACATGCACAAACGTATATATGCATAAATAAACACGTGTGTGTTTGTGAGTGTGTATGCACGTGTGTGTGTTCATGTGCACATGCATATATGAATAGGAAACCACATTTTAAGAGATTTTACTCAATTGTGTGCTTTTATATAAAGAATTTTATTTCCAGGCAAGAATGTACAGAGAATCACATGAAAATACATTCCCTAAAATTTTCAGAAAATTGTTTTAGGGCCATGCTAATACTTGCATCCTCTGAATGTATGTGTGCATATGTGTATTTGAGTGTGTATACATGGACATGGACATATTTTTCCTTCCTTTTTGTTTAGATCCAGCCAGTCGACCCTTCTCTGGTGTCATATTTAAAAGCACATCAAGATTCCTCCTATTCAGTACAGTCGACAAGTCCTCTTATACACATCCAGCACCCATCAACTCATTCTTTTCAAAAGCCAGTCACGGTATTCCTTCCTTGTTCTCCTCTCCCTGAAAAAAAGAACCTTGAGTCTGAGAAAGATCACAGGAGACCAGAGAGTGCCACAGTGCACAGGAGCCTGCCAACACCCTTGTACTTCAACAGGTGAGTCAGAGACCTACTACTGCTAACTAATTTACTGGGGTACAAAGAACCTTCCAGGGTTACTTGTAATCAGTTGACTTGTATTTAAATATCTGAGTAAAATAGTATGAAGTATGTTCTCACAGTTGACCCACAATAGGAAAGAGTTTTAGTTCTAATGGACTCAAAGCTGTACCATGTGAAAAACGGTGCTTTTTAATAATATAGATATGAGATTAAATCTTTCAAGAATTTATGATATGGTTAATTATAAGAATGCAACATAGTACTTCTAGTTTCTTCATTCAGTGTATGAATAAGATAAATTTGATATATTAAAATGCAATAAAATTTCCCAGATCGTGGTGCTGCTTCGATTTATCTCAACGCTCCCGTAGCAGAGGCAGGCGGATCTCTGCGATTTTGAAGCCGGTCTGATCTACAGAGTGAGTTCCAGGACAGCCAATGCTACACAGAGACACCCTGTCTCAAAATTGGTTAATTAATCAACCTAATTTGAATTTATATTTACCTGCAAGTGTATTTCTTCTCCCAAGTCATATAAACGAACAACATCTTCATGAATAAAGTCAAATATGCATATTAACTCAGCAGCCAAAATAAACAAAAAAAGTGGAAGGTTAGCAAATTGAACATATTGCAGGACATTAAACCTGATCTTAATTCCCATCTTTTAACTTAAGATTAATTTTCTTTCCTAATAGAGGAGACAGAAGAGGATATTCCCATTTACTAAACATGAAAGGACTGGTTTTGAAAAACAAGAATTGAGTAACAGCTGCTATTACCCGAGAGGTCACTCTGTGGCAGATTTGTGTACTGTGGCCTGCATTATCATTTTTTATCAATGTGAAGACTTAAGTGTAGTGACATTAAGAACTAGTGAGTGATGCAGTCATGAACTGAACTCACACATTTCCTCTCTATTGAGTCCCCACCATCTGTCTGAGTTAATGGCTATATTCTTGTTCCTATTATGCTTGCAGCTTAAGAAGCTTGGGGCAGCACTCTGTTGATTTGTGGCTGGAGGAAAATTACACATTCTTTACTATAAGATAAAAGATAGGGGACATAGAAATAGACATGATCAGTAGTTATAATTTCACTACTCGACTTCACCAGCAGAGCCTCCTTCCAACACACTTTCACAGTTCTTTACTTCTGTTACGTATTTCCATCATCATATACCTATGGCAATGTGCCATATAATTTCTTCACATTCCAGTTCAAAACACCCCAATGTTAAAAAAATATTCTGATCTTTAAAATATACTTTTAAGGTGACATTTGAATTACTGTTTTTAATGTTTTCTTCTAAACTCTCTTATTGTATTTGTCACCTATTAAAATTTCCTAAGTTCTTGCTAGTCTCTTGCTGCTTGTACCTTCGTCTTGAGAATTCCTATCTGTGGCTGTTTCTTCTGCTGTCATTCGTGGCTCTGTTTCTTCATTTGGGGGCTTTAATGCCTGGGTGTGCACTATAGGATTCTGCTGGCATGAAACGGAGCCAGTTTCCTCAGATGGCATGTATTTCTGTCTCTGTTGAGATCCAACTCCGACTTCAAAACTACTTTCAACAGTTTCAATATGCTAAACGTTCATGTTCATCTTTCCAGTGCGCCTGTGATCCCAAAGATGGATAGTTTCATATTCTGCTCATTTGATTACTGTTTACTGCTGTTGCCTCCTGTTTCTTGGTTATTGGGAGAGCATTGTCCACATAGAACTATTTTTGCTTTATTGGGGAAAGATTCTCAGATGACCCATTCTAAACTTGTTACGTACCATTCTGTGTTATACGTATTAAGTATATAATCTTTGGAAGAATCAATTGGGGAAAGAAATGGTAATGTTATAGATAGTAATAGCACACATGCTGTACGGTCCTTAGGGGCTAGTACTGTCTGGTCCACACAGGAAGGCCCAACCTACCATAATAATGTCACAATTTCAGTGAGACATGGGTTCAGAGAGCTATGGAGCGAATAAAATGTTTCCCTTTTGTTAAACCTGAAGCTATTGCTTTGTAAAGTCTTCAAACATATCATGTACTATTGCATTCAAGAACATTAAGGTCCTGGAGGGTTGAAAAGCCTGCTTTGGAAAATCAAGAGGAAACCCCTCTTGAACATTCCCTAGTAGTATATCTTTCCACTCATGGAAACCAAATATTGAAGTGACCAGAAGCAGACCTTTTTATCATGGGATGCTCTTCCGAACGTCTTTTATGTGGCATTGAAGGAATTAAGGAAAGGTGAGAAAGGTGTAGTAATAGGTGACTGCCAGGCCTGAGACAGTGATCCTGGGCTGTGTATATATCATCTTGTCTCCCTGGCAGATTGTCTGAGGGGAATTAACCTAGTTTCTAGAACTCACCTTTTGTGTTCAAGCAGACTCAACAGGAGATTTCCATATTAGTCAGTGTCACTGCTATAAGGAAACTTTGAACCCTAAGTGGGCTGACCCTGCCCTCCAAAGGCATGGCCATTGACATGAGAAGAGCTTTGGACTCAAGAAGTAGCAACATTTATAAATTTAAAATTTAAAAATTTAAAATTTATAAATTTAAAATTTATAAAGTGAATTTTATGTTGCTCAGAATTGGATGAAGAGAAAAATAGGTAAAGATGATGTTTGTCTTCTGTATATAGTTTTTCTACCTTGTATATTTGCTCCATTAACAAACATGCATTATTATTAATTGATTCATTTTATAGTTGGGTAAAGCAGATTTAGTTGTCTTTTATTTTATCCAAAATAATCTTAACAAATGTTATTTCATTTTTATACTCCTTGGTATATGAAGATAGTCGCCTTGGGGATGGATAGATAGTCAGGTTAGAAATAAAAGTCTCCTGAATGGAAATTGGAGTCATCACCCTTATTTTTCCATGAAGTACCGCATTGTGGAAATACTTCTTCTTTGTTGAGTTAGATATTCTGAAGCCTATTGGAAATAAAAAAAAATGAAGAAAGGAATTTGAATGTGTAGACCCTGCTGATCAGTAAGACAGTTTAGCAATGTCTATATTTTCACTTTTGAAGAAATAAATTTTTATGCTAGTGCTTAATGTGCAGTGTCTTTGGGAGCACAATCTCAAGGTATAGTAACTGACTTCCATATGTGCTCAACAAAGAAAAATGTTCTTATATTTTTAAACAATAACTTTTCGAATAGAGACATGTGCTAGTAGTTGTACTAACGCTGACAGATCATGAGGAATCCCCAGCTGTCATGACCAGATACATATCCACAACACACAGTAGATTAGAATATGGAGTCTGTGATAAGTGTAACTGGGACTAAGGACATTGTCAATTAGGCAAGACACCAAAAGTTTGTAACTTGATAATTAAACAGGGTAGTTGAATCAGAAAAACAAAAACAAAAACAAAAACTTTTTTCTCAATATCAGTCATTTGAATTGAAATCCCAAAGTGATTACATTGGTAACAAATATTAAATTCAGAGTGAACAATTTGATCCAGAAAATGATCATCAATCTATCAATTTATTGCAAACTAAATACAAACCATGTAGAAAATAGACCACTGGAAATTCCTCAGTATGCCATACACCCTAGGCAATGTGACCATGCATACGCTCCTTGTCCATATACTTTCTGTCTTAGGGTTTCTATTGTTGTGATGACAGTGTGACCAAGAGCAACTTGGGGAGAAAAGCGTTTATCTGGCTTACACTTCCATATCATAGTTCATCATCACTGAAGGAAGTCTGGGCAGAAACTGAAGTAGAGACCATTGAGGAGTGCTGCTTACTGGCTTTCTCTCCATGGCTTGCTCAGCCTGCTCTTGTATACAACTCAGGACCACTTGCCCAAGGGTGGCACCACCTATAGCGGCCTGTCCCACATCAATTGTGAATCAGGAAAATGCTCTACAGACTTGCTACAGACAATCTGATGGAATCATTTTTGCAATTGAGGTTTCTCTTCCTGGGTAACTTTAACTTGTGTCAAGTTGACAAAAAAAAAATTAGTCAGGAGACACTTCTATTTTAAAACAGCTCTATCATCAACATGTATAATTTATAATGGGAGTTGTTTTAAATTTTTGAGTAAAGAAATTCTATGTAAAAATCAGTACTTTAATGGCTAAATTAGTTTTCTGAGAAAAGCTAATTCTAAAGTGTTGACATTCACATTTAAAGGCCCATGCATTATGTATACCACAAAGGGATTGTTCTGAAAGTAAAATGTGATATGAGAATTTTGATAATGTGATTGCTTGCAGCACGTTTTCTTAGAGATTAATAGCATATTTATTTTAGTCAGCATCTTCACAGAACCTGATTCTATCTTGGGAAGAGATGAACATTTTTAAATAAATCATTTTTAGAAAGATGCACTATATTTTATTTATTTTAATTTTTCAACATGTATGTGTGAAAGTGTGTATGCACGTGGGATCCTAGGTTGATGTTGGGTGTCTTCCTCAATCACTCTTCACTTTATCGACTGACAGGGTACCTCCCTGAATGTGGAACAGACTGGCTCAACTAGTCTGTCTAATCAGTTTGCTTCAAGGATTCCATATGTCCATCTCCTGACCAATGGGATTATAAAAGGGCAGACACACCTACCCACCCATCATTTACATTAGTGGTAGGGGTCAGAATTCCTGTGCTCATGCTCCATGTTGTGCTAGCCAAACTATCTCTCCAGTTCTGGTTTATATATTTTGGAGAATTGTCATAACATCAACATGTCATTTTTTGATCTTGACCAAGTACTAGTCATTACTAGGCAACATTATTTGTCAAGGTTTGCTAATAGTGCATAAGTAGGGCATAGTTTATTTAAAGAGCTGTTAATCCTAGGAGGTATGGATGTAACATGCCATTATTTGACTTAAAGATACATTGCATCTATTACTGCAAATTCTGTTTCTTTAACTCAGGACTGTTTCTTTCTTGTGTTTTGAGACAGACTCTTGTTCTATAGCTCTTCTGGTACTTCCTGTGTAGCCCAACTGGCTGCACACTCTCTGTTCTCCTTCAACCTCAACCTACTCAGTCCTAAGGTTACAGGCACATGCTATTAATCTTGGTTATTAAGGACACATTTTAAGTCACAGAAAAGCAAACAAAAGTCTTCAATTAAAAAGTGCTATAACTTTTATTTATTTATATTTTTGTGTACTGGGGATAAAATATAGTCTCTCATTTGTGTTCTTTCCTGAACCAATTATATTCTCTGACATGTTTGTACCTCATGCAGATGATACCCACTACATCTTCATAAATCCAAGTTAGAGAAAAACAGGAATATTTCCCTCATTTATATGCATATAAATAAGTTCAGCTCTATAAGCCTAGAGCTGAACTCCCATTCCAAATTTATTAGAAACTCATAACTGGACCAAGAAGGAATACAGAATACAGATCAGCCTATGTTATGAAGTGATAACAAATTTCTTAACAGTTCTTGTATCTTATTATGCATATATAACAACAGTCTTTATATCTCATTCCATGCTATGAAAGGCTGCTTCTTGCTTCTTATGCCTGTACTTAGGCACAGAACAAATACTTTCTGGTTGCTATTATGGCTGTAGAAAAAACTTTGGGAAGATTCACTAGCAATAAGGCTCATGTCCCCAAAGTGACAAATCTCTCTTCAATTTCCAATTATTTAACTGGAGCTAGTCACATGGTCTCACTCAACTATAGTGATAGAGACATGCAACCCCATTGTACACTCAAAACAAAGGATTAGCCAATATTTTAGTGGCCATTGCTCATGAATGCCACATGCACTATTTGGCTGAATCAAGTAACTGTCTGTCCTGAGTCAGGATGTATGAGCTTTCACTACACGTTACGACCTCATCGAAACTCAGAGCATTGGCAGAAAAAAAGTGAATAGTAACTACCATGGGTGGGTTTAGGGAAGGATCAACGTTGTATTTAGTGAAATTTATTTCTAGTGAATGATCAAGATTCTGATTCAGTGTGAATATATTCTCCAGTGTAAATTAATTTTTAGCTTCAGGATTAAAAAAATCTGCCACATCTGTGATTATAATCTAACATCCCAAAGCCAATTTCTCTACTTTTTTATTTTATTCTGTCAGAGTCCCTGAAAAACCAACAGAGGATTTTAAAAATAATGTAAGTTTAGACCAGTTCTTTGTTTCTGAGTCATAGGACATATTGGTCTGTGAAACAGGTAAATTTTATAATTCTAATTATCTACACATAGACACACCACATCACATAAATGCACAGAGAGAGAGGAGACAGAGATGGGGAGAGATGAGAGAGATCGATCTTGATTTTGGTAGCTAGCTAAATTGTTTCTGTCCCCCAGCAAGTTGCAGGATGTTTTTCTCCAAAGGTGTTCAGTATCAACATTTTTTTTGTTTTTTGGTTGTGAAGAACAGATACTGTTTAAATGAATGCAAGAAGAACATTCATTGAAGGACCTCATATTAGTCTCAGAAGACTCCATTGTCTCTTTCACATTAATTTTTTTCTTACTCCCTTAATATCTAAGTTTTCTTCTTAATATGCACACTATCAATTGATTTCCTTAGTCCAGAGCTTTGCAACCAAAGGAAAGTGATGAGCCACAGTCTCTGAACTCTGACATAGCCAAATTCCAAAGAAAGGGAACTGCGTTGGCTGGCTCTTAGAAACTGGTCTATGGAATGAACTCCAGTTGGCAAGCAGTAACATGTGGTACTTAAAGCTGTTAGGCTTTGGGTGGGACGTGTTACATAAGCAGGAAAAGTATTTAAGAAAGCATATTGGCTATCTTCTGCTGTAGGATGTGGTATGGGAATATTAATACCACCTAACACTTTCAATGAATGCTTCATAAGTATCCACACTTGTATATATAATCCTATGATAAAGATAACATTGTTCTATTGTGATAGCCAGTAAAATTGAGATACATAAATACAAAATACCTTATGTATGGTCATTTGATTTTAAGAGACGGAACCCAGCCAGAAGAAATGGTGTTGGAGTCTATGGTTCTTAAGTACCCCTAAAGTGTCTGTACTTGTCCCTCTGAGTCCATTGTTTCTAAGTGTTCCCTTAAACCTTCTTTTGCCAGTAGTAAAATGTATTTCATTCTTTAAATCCATTCTTTCACACCAGCATTTTTATTCTGCAAATATCCTTGAATAGTATATTTGCTCCTAAATCCCCCATACTTTCTTCTTAGTACCACACAGATCACCCCATGCTATAAACAGATAATACTATGATAGTGTATGGATACTTCTAGAAGCAAGGGCTATAATCGTCCCATCTTTCTATTCTTGAAGTCAGAAATAATTAGGAATGCATAGCATACACATGATGGATTGTTGCTGGATTAGTTACTTCATAAAAAGTAGATGTTTTTAATGTGATTTGTGCTATGTGGATTTTTACCCATTTCTGTTAACCATTTTATAGGACCAAGAGTGCTTCCATCAGAAAACCTGGTAACAACGCTTGTGAAACTTTGAAATTAGTAGGATTCAGAAGCAGAGACAGTGGTTGGTTTGGGATTGATGACGTCGTGGTGAGAACTGTCCAGAATGGCTTGGTATCTTTCGAATTGTGTGAACACTTAGAGAGGTAAGGCCATAGGAAATGATCAGAGGTGATGGCACTCTCCTATAGCCTATAATTAATGTGTAGGAATGGGATCATAGAAACATACGCTGGCTTTTAGGGTGTACTTAAAATGCAAACCACAATGGACATGGATCCTCTCTTTGCAATTTTGCTCATGACAGTATATGTAGGGCTTTCGAAATTTACTTTCAACATAGGTTTATTTTTATAGGTTTCTCTTACCACAAAAATAGTTTCAAAACAGCACCTTCATTTCTTAAATTCCACAGGAGAGTAATTAACTGTTCGTACTGTGCTCATCTCATAACTATGTAGATATAAACTGAATTTGTTATTTCAGTTCCTTCATTTAGCTTTCTCATTTCCATGTATTCTAGACGGCCCATTAAAGGAATGTTTTAGACAGTTTTCAGGTACATGAGGATTAGGCACTCATGAAGAGAGGCAATCACATGTCTAAAGATAGGTTTCCTTTCGTAATGACGACCCGACCTCTGTGATTATCCCCACGCCAAATTCTGCAGAAACACAGTGTGAGCTGAGAGGGCAGGTGGCTGACTGAGGGAGGCCTCTCAGGAAGAACCTGTGAGGAAAGGAAAGAAGTGGAGGAGTCCAGGGAACATGACGGCAAAGCTGGTTTTTGTTGGCTCTTCCCCAGCCTGGTGCCCCAGGGGAACTCTGGAACATCACAGTGGTTGGCTTTGGTGGTTACACCCAGCAGTCCTTGTCTGTGAGAGAAGTCTGCTGGGGATGAGAGCTTCTGTTCTCTGGAGGCCAAGCAAGGGTTAACTTGTCCTATTCTGGGATCTAAGTCTGTATTAGTTTCCCAGGGGTGCTGTAACAAAATGTCACACATTTATTTATTATCCCACAGTTCTAGAGGCTCCGTGTCTCCAATCAGAGCATGTGTAGGGTTTGCTTCCCTTGAGGACTTCAAGGGAAAAATCCACTGGAAGCCTGTGCTTGACTTATAAATGACCATTGTCCTCCTCACACAGTGTTCTGTGTTCTTCTTTTTCTGTTGAAAACTCCTGCTTTGAAGAACACTAGGGATATTGAATTAGGGTCATCCTAGTGCCCTCACCTTGGTTTGTATACCTCTGTAGTGACATATAGTGTTACATGAACATTAGCATTTGAGGATATGATTTAGGATGGGAAAAAAATTAAACCCCAAACAAGATCCATCATAAAAATTCTCACATCACAAAAATGAAGATGAGTATTTCACCCCCACCTACATGTGTTACAGAAATGGATTATTTTCAACATCATTTGCTTCCGTGTTTTGAAGTATTACTTGGATACTTTTCTATAGCCTTACTCTGTTGAATGATGGAATAATGAACATTTCAAACCTTGCCAATTGTACTACCATACAAAGAACACAGTGTACTCACACAAACCTGGGTAGCATAGCCTGGAATAAATCTAAGAGTGTATGGTTGCAGCTGATTTAAACATAAAATAGCTAGTTTATCAAAATGTATTTCAGTATAGTAAAAATATTGGATATAAGATGTTTTTAATAGAATATCTACATAGTGCTTTTACCATGGATGGAGCTTGCAGGGCAGGGCATGGTTCTGGGTGAGTCTGAACACTGAATCTGAAGACCCAAGATGTTACTCTGCACTGTGTAAGATTTATAAATACTGTGTCAGTGGTGAGACTAAATTTACTGTCTTTTTCTTCAATCATAAACAGTATTACTTACTATTATTTTATTATTTCATATATTTAAAACTTTCACATTTTGGGTCATTTGTGTTATTAACTTTAAACAGAAGCATATTGTTTGGCTATATAAAACTGTTTCCCTTACATTCTTTTCTCTTTTTTTTCTAAGAGTGCAGGAACCTATGATGTTCAAAAGAGAGTGTAGGGTTTCCAAGGGCTGAGGGCACTGGTGGTTTTGAGCAGCCTGCCACCAGTGCTGGGAACCTAACCTGGGTCCTACACTAGGACATAATGTGATCTTAACCATGGAGACATCTCTATACGCCTTGTTTACATTTTATTCTCTGCAAATTTCTATTTTAAATTGTTATTCATTTATTTATTTCATATCGTTTGAGACAGGATCTTGCTAGCTAGTCCTGGATACTCTCAAACCTTTCTATTTAGACAAGACTGGCCTCATAGTCCTCCTGCCTCTACCTCCTTATTGCTGGAATTACAGACACAAACCAATCCATCTGGATTTACTTAATTTGGTTGTTGTTTTTAAAGTTAAAGACATAAGTAAACATTATTCTAGGTCTACATAGCATCAGAATCACCCAGACACTGCCTTTTACCTCCTTACTTTGTCCCACTACAAGCTCTTTAGGGGCAACAACATACCTGGAGCTGTCATCTTTTATGAGAGCAGTGTCTTCTTCTGTACCCCAAACATTATTTAGATTGGAATACATTCTAAGCTAATAATCAAAATACGTTAAATACAAAAGGCAGTCATATAGTTGCTTATTGTTATCATCAAGTATCATGTACTATGCATAATTCTATATGCTGCAACTTCATACACTTGGCAGGGCAATCGTTTTTTCATACCAACATCACCACACACATGTGAGTAATGTCCTTGTAGTGTGGTGTTAAGACTGCAACATTACTAAGTGATAGAATTTTTCAGCTCCATTATATTCTCATAGGAACAACCAGGTATGTGCAGTCACTGATTGAAATGATATAGAATGCATGACTCTATAATGAAAACATAGGACCACTTTTAGAACTCAGCTGAGACAGAGTGATTACTTTAAGGATATGTTTTAGAGGGGGATATGGTAGGGTTCACTTGTAATCTCATCACATGGAAGGCTGAGGAAGGACTGTTGTGAGTTCAAGACTAGCTGGGCTACAGAGCAAGAACAAACTACCCAACAATATCCAAAAGCATCTTTTAGAATTTAGCTTGAGACCTAGGGGGAGGTCTTGGTCAGTAAAGTTCCTGCCATGCAAACAACAGGACCTCAGTTCAGTTCCCCAGCACTCAAACACCTTAGTATGACAGTTCACATCTGCAACTTGAGTATTGAAGAGAACAGAGACAGGCAGATCTCTGGTACTCATTGGCCAGCAAGTCTAGTGGACCTGATGAGCTCTCTTAGGTTCACCAAGACACTCTATGAGACAGCCTATCTCAAATACTAAGATGGAAAGGAATGGAGGGATACCTAACATCTTACATTGATCTCTGGCCTCCACATGCATGTATGTACATATGCCCACACAGCCAAATGTACAGATGCATGCACCCATACAAACAACATGCATGCAAAACACGCAGCCAAAGACAACAAACAGCTTAGTTGATCTGAATTAGCTTCTTGACTGCCTGGGATTTCACCAAAGTCCTTCATTAATATAGGCAGTTGATCATCAGAATGATTGCTCTAAGTGGAAGTTAAGAAAAGCAGTTTTTTTTCTTTGGGTTTGTGGTATTTCAATGCTTCATATTCCCTTTGGGTCTCGCCTCTTTCCTTTTACCCAGGTTTATTGTGCTCCACCTGTCTTCCACAGCAGACAATAGCCACTTGGTTTCTTTTGTGAAGTCTTTAGAGGAAGCCTCACTCAGCACCACTGCCTGTATTGTGCTGTCACACCAGAAGGACAATCCGCACAGAGTGGTTATTTTAGTGGTACCTTCGAAGGAGTTAAACCTGGTACTGAAGAACTTGCGCTCAGAAGGCTTTGGAGGACTTCCAGAATCATCTAGACATTTCCAAGTAAGAGAAGGAGAACAACTTCTTTTAAGGTTTACTGGAAACATATTTGGCTCAAGTAAGTATGAGGAAATATTCTTATGTGTTTTACAGACTATAAGCCACAAACCTTAGATGTAACACACCAAACTTGTATTACTAAGGAAGACTTCCCTTTAGAGAATTTGGGGAAACATTTACTGACTAGTCTATCTAGGCACTAGTCTTTTTATGTACAGGGACACATGTGTCTTTTTGGACAGATTTTAAGTGACATTCTTTTAGAAACAGTCTTCTTCATGATTGCTCCCGAGTTCAAGCTAACATCACCTCTTCCTTGTGACAATTCCATAGTTTCTAAATGCTACCTGCTTCCACCTGGCAATATGAATGTGTTTCCATAAGGAAATAACAATTTGTTGAGAAACATGTCATGTGATAAATGGCTCCCACTTATGATGATTTGACTTAGGAAATTTGGCTTTATGATATACAATGTCAATACATATTCAAGTAGAAATGGTACATTCTGAGTTTTGGTCTTTCTCCAACTTATCTGCTTCAGGAATGATACTGTCTGTGATGTCACAACTCCTAGTTGGCCACTCAGTCTCAAGGGGAAAGAACTAATATTCTGTGGTATGTTGGGTTGCTAAGCCATGGTGTTAAGTATTTGACATGTATTAAGTGTGTTTTTGACATGATGTTTTCTATTTGTTACATTTGTAAGAAAGTGGGAACATCACAAGTTCAGGAGCATCTGTCTGTCATTCATCTAGCAGAACTGTATTAGCTTCCATTGCACCTAAAATTATCTACATACTCTTTGATGTGTCTGTTAAGAATCCGGCATGGGTCAGTAGACTCCCATGATTAGAAGTATGCCATGTAATTCCTTATTTTAAATTACATGTATTTTATTTTACATATTTTAAAATATATTCTCAGAAATATATTTTACATTTGGAAAGTGGTCTGAGGTACAAAAGAAGCTTAAGAATATTTTATGTGGGCAACACACCCTGCAGATTTCTCATTCCCACATTTACCCAGTATTGCTCTTGTTCTCATTATAAATGACATTAAAATTAGAAATTAGTGGCTCCTAGGTTTGGGTTTTACTCATATTCTCAGGAGACATTCTTAGCTGGAATGAAAGTCCATGGGACAGTGAGCATGTCTTCCTTGTCTGATGTCCTCTGAGCCTAACAGTACCTTCTTTCATTGACTGTAGAGTGAATGAATGAAGATATGGCAGTGCTGAAGAAGATGAACAAGATGATGGCAGTGGGAAATGCTGTGGGGGAGGGAGAAGTGAGTGGTTGGGGAGGTGAAAAAGATTCAAGACAGCGAAAGGGGAAGTGAAAAGAAGAAAAGAGAAGAAGAGTAAAGGGATAGGTAAAAGAAGAGAACAAAAGGTCTTGAGAGGAATTGCCATCTGGGTATTTCTTTTTCATCAGCTACTTCCAATTTCCAATTCCTTCCTTGAGTAAAATAGAATATCAAAGGTATGGTGATAATGGTGGCACATGAGAGAGAATTAAAGGGTGGATTTTGTGGGGAGTTCTGAATCAGGAACCTTACTATGCACTTGACTTGATGCAATATTCTTTGTATATGTATATATATATATATATAAATTAATATGTATAATATTGAATCCATGATGCCTACTATCTCTCATTTAGAAAATGGCCCCAAGGCCTTATGTGGTATTTGTAGCTCACAAAGAAAAGGAGGTTTGAAGCCAGTCCTGACCCTCACAGGGATAAGTGAGACCCATTATTACCCAATATCTCCCAATCTAAAGTGTCTCTTCTACTCTTACATGTCTGTCACTGGAAGAGAGGAGGAAAGAAGGATGGGAACGATGCCTTTCTACTTAAGTTCGGAAGCAGAAGCCAAACTTGACACCCAAGAAAGAGAGATAGTCATAACTCAGAAGTACTCCACCCAAACTAATGATGCAAATGATTTTTCTGTAACACCAAAGAGGCAGCTATGTTTACCTACTGTCCTAAACAGGACTGAGCTGTTGTCTTTACAGGCAGGGAATCTGTTGTCTTGACTGAGTCCAGGGTCCCATGCTAAATTAAGACAGCCTAAAGATGGACAGCATCTAGGAGGGATGGAGATGACCTCATCTTCATTCAAAGAAACCAAGGCAGGCAAGATGCCCATATTCTTTCCATTGTCCTTTTCCAGGAGATTCTTGTTCATATTAGGATCCTCACTGGAATTTTCTGGATCGAGGAGGAACATGACTCTCCACAAAGAGTTGATACCTATCTCTACATCAGAACATGGGAAGCCGAAGGAGATAACCCCAGGTGTCCTCTGTCTGCTGGGCCCTCATCTCCTCCCCTGCTTCTCTCCCACCCTAATGTCTCCTATTTCATCTTCTTAATGATCATGTTCAAGGATGTGTTCCTTATTCTTCCCCGCCACATTTTTTTAGAGCTTTATTTTATTTTCACAGATGTTCGCCCTTTCTTTTGTGTCCCCTGCCACAGACGCCACTTTCTATTTAGTTATGTAATGCCATTTTCCCTATAAAGACTCTCATTGGAAGGGGGCAGTCTTGTTGGGGATACCACGCAACCCCCGTCACCTAGGATAGTACAGGGCAGATAGAAGGAACTCTGTGATTAGAAATGAAAACAAAGGTCTTGGCATTGCACTAATGATTGTGGTGGTTGAATGAATTAACTATGAATAAATTCATTAATACATTTGTAGCTAGAGTTTTCCTGCCTGGCCCAGGGTCAGGACAAATCTCTCTCATCCACCAGTCCCACAGCTGCTCAGACCCAACCAAGTAAACACACAAGGACTTATATTGCTTACAAACTGTATGGCCGTGGCAGACTTCTTGCTATCTAATTTTTTTTATCTTAAATTAACCCATGTCTATTAGTCTATAAGTTGCCACATGGCTCGTAGCCTTCCAGTACCTTACATCTTGCTTGTCATGGCAGCGTCTGGCAGCGTCTCTCTGACTTGGCCTTCCACTTCCCAGAATTCTCCTCTCTGCTTGTCCCGCCTATACTTCCTGCCTGGCCACTGGCCAATCAGTGTTTTATTTATTAACCAATCAGAGCAACACATTTAACATACAGAACATCCCACAGCACTTGGGGGACAAGGAGAGAAGAGAATTCTGGAAAGTGGAAGGCTGAGGCAGAGAGATGCTGCCAGCCACCGCCATGACAAGTGAGATGTAAGGTACTGGTAAGCCACAAGCCATGTGGCAACTTACAGACTAATAGAAATGGGTTAATTTAAGATATAAGAACAGTTAGCAAGAAGCCTGTCATGGCTATATGGTTTGTAAGCAATATAAGTCCCTGTGTGTTTACTTGGTTGAGTCTGAGCAGGTGTGGGACTGGCAGGTGAGAGAGATTTGTCCTGACCGTGGGCCAGGCAGGACCAGGAAAACTCTAGCTACATACATTATGGAATTTAGACAACTGTCCAATAAAAAACCCAAAGTCCTCTGACCTACAGATATGCAACATGGATGACTCTTGAGAAAGTTTCACAAGGCATAAACACAGTTCCTATTTCTGAGATGAGATCAAAGGAATGTTTCTGCATCTTGATCTTTATCTTTGCCTGTCATTCTTCAGGATAGAGCTAGAGCATGCTTTCATTCTCTGTCAGAGCTCTCAATACAGCACTTACACATTTTGCTGCATGACCCTTAGGATCCCTTTGAGTGCAAACAAAATCCAGAAAATGCTAGCAATTTCTTGGGGGTTTTATATAGTGATACCGTAGTCTCACACCTAATGTCTAGAAATACTCTGTGCAAGCCCATGTGCCTCAAAGATGTTGGCAGTGCCTTATGTCCTTGGGTAGCATATTCAATTAATCATCCTTTTATTCACTCTGTAAAACTTACCAACTATTATGAATATTATCATCTATAGACAAGAAAAAATAAGTAATTAAGTGAATACAATATACATTATAATGCTGGCTAAAAAGTGTACTTCAGAAAACCAAAACAGGAAAAAGATAAAGAAGAGGCAGAGTTACAGTTTTAAACAATGATCATAGAAGAGCTATTAAGTAGGTGACATTTATATAATTCTCTAAGGACATGAGAGAATGAGCATTAATCCCATCTCAGGAAGTTTGTCTCAGACATAGGCATTAAAAGTGCATATAAATTGTGTGCTTGAGGACCAGCAAAAGCTAAAAAAGCAGGATCAGAAGGCATGAGGGGAGGTAGTAGGAGATGCGAACTGATCACTCCTAGGGCCATTGCAAAGACTGAGGCTGAGACACCATTTGAGATGAGTGGTCCACAGAGGAGTAACATAACAAGCTAGACCACAACTCTGTTGAGAATAAGCTATAAGGTGAGAGTTGAAATGAAGAGGCCATATAATGAGCTCTTTCTGTAATTGAGCCATTTCTGTAAGGCCATGGCAGACTGTCGAGTAGAAGCTGTGGATAGTCAGTAAGAATCATAAAAACACACAAAGACACTGTTTATCTCTGGGTATTTTGGTTCCTCCTATAACTAGCACTTTTGCTTCCTCATCTGACTTTTCTAGGGAAAGCACTTCTTCTTGTATGTGAATGCCTATGACATCAATAAAAGACATTTAACCCTCATTTCCGAGAAGAATATGTATTGCTGTAAGAAACCTCCAGTTACTCACAAAATATAAATAATATTTTGACTTGGCAAGCATTTGTGCAATAGTGGTTGTCTCAGTTCTCTACTAAGGGCTATGTGTCTTATATGGTCAGAAGGGGGAAACTCTCTCCAAAGGTCAGCCAACCAAAGCTTTAGAAATGTCGCTTTCATTTTTACTTCTTTGTGTATGTCAGAGGAAGAGGAAAAATACTGTCATTTATTTTATGTTTTTCAGCCCTTTGTTCTTTTTTATTAGAGACTGATGGCCCTCAAAATATCATGTTCTCTCTTAACAACAATACAAGTCCAAATTTTTTTAAAAACTATGTAACAAGTCCTTTACAAGATCGTGAATCTGTTACTGATAAATTCTCAATAATTGCATCCTTATTTAATTTACAGATATGACTTTTAGAGTTCCATTACAGATACTACTAATGTTTAAAAGGTGTTTACACAGTCTAGATCTGAATTTAACCGATGTAGGCTTACTTCCAAATCCTTGTATCCTGCATATTAATCGTCACTTACAAGTAACTGTAAATCTCACAGGGAAAAAAGAGATTTAAAAAAAAAAGAAATTTTCTAAGTCATAGTTGACTAGGATCAACATAGTGCTGTTTCTTCTGATAATTCTTGGGGTGGGAAGCAAAGACCTAACAAGACATTATTCAAGGGATCTGAAAACTTTAATTTCCAATATAGATCACATTTTAATCACCCAAAATAGTTTATCACTAAAAAACGCTAACCTGAAACCTTCTTAAGTAACACACTCCTTCCCCCATAAGTAATTGTCCTCAATGATCTGCTTCAGTTCAGGAACCAGATTGCCACAACACAATCTTATTCTAAGGGGACTCCTTTCCACAATGGAGAACCTGTCTATTCCTGCTTTTCAGTGAAATTTAGAAATTTGCCAAAATGCCTTTTAGCAGCCACAGCAGGGAAACAGCAATATCTTCCAAATTGTTTACTGAATTTTCCCCCTAGGCAAAACATAAGGCATTCATTCTGTGAGAGATATAGCTAAGGACCACCAGCTTTATGTCTTCCTAGAGAGTAGAACCTCAGTTTGGTGTTTCATTAAAAGTTTAACTATTTGGTTTAGCATACAGATGCAGTACAACAACAGAATCTTGCTTCTTTCTCTTCATTTACTATCACGCTGTCATTTCTTCGGCATTTAATATGTACCAGGAGTTGGGGCAATTATATTATTCAGATTACATCAGGTCACTTTTAAGGGTAATCTTAGATGGCAAATGCTGTTTTTCCTGTTTTAAAGAGGAGGAAGTTAAGGACCTCAAAGTTCCCCAAGCGTAGGAGCACCGGACAGATATTACCATGAAGACAAGTGGCAGAGGCTGGACTTGACTCTAGACCTTTACATCCCAAACATGCCGCCTCAGCTGCTCTCTCAGAGCTTCTGAAAGATGTTGCGATGATGATGCAGGCAGGCACTGTCTGAGGAAGCATAGATATCTCTTCTGCTGTTGCAATATGAGGCCCTAAAACCTGCAGAGGTGCAAACTCCTGTTCACAAAAGCTTCATTAGTTTCAAAGAGAAGACTTATCTATGTCTTTGTTTTCAGAGCATCCACCACATTTTATTAACAATTCCAACAAATCCAGTAACTATTCTGTTTGGAAGTGCCACAATAGCACTGTCATTTTCCATAGTTGTGATAACATTTTATTTCTGTTCTCTGTACTAAGGAAGCCATTAGCTGGGCCATCATGTCACACACATTTAATCCCAACACTTGGGAGGCAGAGGTCGATGTGGGTAGATCTCTGAGTTCAAGGCCAGCCTGGTGTATAGAGTGATTTCCAGGATAGCCAGAGACATACAGAGAGACTTTTTCTTGAAAACCCAAAATGAATCAACCAAACAAACGAAACTAAGGAAGCCAGGAGATTGATGTGGTAGCCACTAAGCATAGTAAGCATGGGTAGAGTGACTGAGAAGTTCAATTTTTAAACACATTTTTAAACATTTATTCACCCTCCCCCCCCCTCTCTCTCTCTCTGTGTGTGTGTGTGTGTGTGTGTGTGTAGGTGAGAGGAAATTTGCAGGGGTTTGTTCTCTCCTATCATGTGGGATATGGAGATTGAAGTCAGGTATTAAGGCTTTGTGGCAAGCACTTTACCTGTTGAGCCATCTAGGAGGTCAAATAGTTGAACTTTTAATGGTCTTTAATTTAATTGTAATTTACACTTAAGCAGCCACATGTCCCAGGAGAATACAGCACTAAAATATCCAATGTGTGCTCATGGCAGTGTGCAGTGTGATAGGAACAGCACAAAGGAAGGAGAAAGATAATTCTTGGAGAGTGAAGATGACTTTCTAAAGACTGGAAAACATGAATATTTCCAGAAGTTTCTTGGTAGAAAATCATGGAGAGGAAAAAGCAAAAGCAAAAATTATTTGTGTCGGAGCTTCCAGAGAATACAATTACAGATGAGAAATCTTCCTAATAATCTACAATAACCTGTCATTGCTGTTAGGGTTTATCCTCACAAGGCGTAACAGCAGGCAAGACACTTTAACTAGACTTGATAAATGAAAGGTCATTGGGATTTTCCAAATTAAAGCAAACCGATTATCCTTTTGTGACAAATGTATCTCCTTTTCAGGCAATGGGAAGGATTATGGGAAAGACTACAAAGTCATCTTTCACCTGCAAAGAAAACCCAGGCTAGAACTCCACATCAAAGAGGTGGATGAATTTGGGAACTACAGCTGCCCTCATTATAAAGGCACCATTGTGGTCTATAAAGTACCCAGAGAGAAGATTGTCCCCAACTTGGATCAATCCCTTCATGAAAATCTTTACCAGCTGCCAGTTTGCAAATTACCATTGAAATTGCCAAAGGTAAGTCCCTCCCCTTCCTGTGTAACAACTTTGGTCGCCTCTTTGTAATTCCCTATTACAATTAGTTCTGCAAGCAAATGGATACAGAAGGCTAAAATAAACATAAGGCCAAATTTGATAAAGAAGGGTAGGTAGGGCCAACTCTAGAGTAATAGAAAGTGCATTGGGTTTCTGCTGTTGCTGATGTTAGTTTTTTCTAACTAGAGCAATGGAAGTAGATTGGTTTCTCACAGCATGTTGTTAATGACCATGGCAACAATGCCGTTCATCTTCCATAACTACGTCTGAGGAACTTCGACATCATTTGTGAAAACACTGAGTGCATTGCAGAGTGTATTTGAAGGACAGATCAGTCTGAACATGGGACTAACATCAAAAAACTTTACTAAGACTAATCTATGCCAGCATGTTTACAAGTTATTCATATCTAATAACCTGCCTCATGCCAGAAAGTCAGATTAAATGATTTTCCAAAAGGTCAAACACATTAAAGCATATAAACATTGTATTATTGTATAAGTAATTACTTTCTATGAATGAGTATAACTACCTTGTATTTTTAATGGGAAATAATGCTGAAAAAATCATGTTATCACTGTCTTACAAAAAGATATTTGTTACTTTTAAAGAAAGCCTTTTTCTGTTCTTACCTTTTGTGTTTTGAATCTCAGAACATGTTTTCCATATACAGGTTTTGTACATTTTTTAGGTGTCATGTAGCTCAGACCACACATAAACTCACTATGCAGCTGAGGATGACCGTGAACTCCAAATCTCCTTATTTAAATTCCAAGTGCTAGGATTACAGGTGTGAACCATCATAGCCAGTCTTTGTACAGTCCTTAATTAACAAATATTAACTGTACTTCTGAAAGAGATTGCTCTCCTACGTGTTATCATAAATACAGAGTTATAGAAATAAAATGTAGTCAGAATCTGTGTTGTCAATAACGGTAGCTACTGTCCACCATGGCTATCCTCAAACATGTGACATATGGCTAATTTCAAAGGAGACATCCTGTGCCAGATAGATCCAGTAAGGAAATATAAATGAGTCATAATTTGTTTATAATGATGAAATGGCACTTTTGTAATATTTTGGTTTGATCGGGTTGAATAACATGTTCCATAAATCAATTTTATTTTTCCTTAAGTAACTGCTGCATTGAAATACACATCTCAAACTCTATTTCTGTGGAATAGTACTTTTGAAAATAAATGTAACCTAACAGAGTATGTAAAACATGTATATAAAACTGCATTATAAGATTATAACTGATTAGATAATGGTATAAATAATGCATTAATAGTTGTTCAGAAGTTGAAAATAGCATCTCAGGAAGCTGAAAACAGTAGACCTTTTGTGGTGATTACATCATGTTTTTTTCTAAACTGTTTTTGTTCTTGGGAATTTAACCACTAGACACGAAGGGAAAACTGGCTTACAGCAAGAAAACGGAATGCATTTGATTGGGATAATAGAAATATCTTAGCAGAAATTCACATTTCAATTAAAGCCATTACCATAGTTTCTAAAATACAAAAATCCCTTTAAGTGCTTTTGCATGCACCGTGTCATTAAATCCTCACAGAATCTTTGGGTGCAATGCCATTGTTCTTGCGTTACCAGAAGTGGAGACGGAGCAGGTTCAGTCACGTTGTCTGGGATCCTAGAGCTAAGTGCAGAGGAAGGATTCCAACTCAGGAAATCTGTTCGCCAGGTGTTCAGCAACCTCTGTGCTGGTGCCTCTTAGCAGAAAAAACTTCTATTCTTATCCCAGAAGGCAGGATAGAGTTGCAGGTATCCAGATTCTCCCTAAAAGTTGTAGGACAAGTCGAAAACAGAAAGAGTGTAGACAAACTACTAGAAAAAGTTAGCAAATAGTATGTCATGGACTTCAACCAAACCAAAGCAGCCTTAGTGCAGAGAAACCTCATTACAAAGAGTAAGCACTGAGCCATATGAACCTTTTCCTTGGCGGTTTGAAGAAGGTATTGGGGTGCTGAGCCAGGAGGATATGCTGTTAAACCACTGATGGCAGAAACTGCAGTATGTTCAGAACAGTATAGCCATCTAAATGAACACTCACTTCCATTTGTGCATCTTCTGCAATGTTGATGTTTCCATGTTTATTTGTAATTTCCTTCCTATAAAGAGTCTACATATTTTAAATTTTATTTCACTTTTTAAATATTTAAAATTATATAGTATTTAAATTTATATACTTAATATTTAAATTATATAGAGCAATATTCAAATTTATATAATCAATATTTAAATTATATAGATTAATATTTAAATTTATATAATTGATATTTAAATTATATAGATTAGTATTTAAATTTATAAAGCTGATATTTAAATTATATAGATTAATATTTAAATTTATATGCTTAATATTTAAATTATATAGATTAATATTTAAATTATATATATACACAGATGTGAGTGTGTGTGTGTGTGTGTGTGTGTGTGTGTGTATGTGTGTATGTGTGTTTGTGGTATATGTCCATTTGTCTGTGAACATATATATGCCACAGTGGAGGTCTGGGAACAATTTGCAGAAATTGGTTCTTTCCTTTGCCCACTGCACAGTCTCTCTAGCTCCTACTGTGAGTCTAATGGACAGAATAATTTTACATATTGTCTGGGATATAATGGAGTAAAGAGCATGTGCTTAGCATATGTGAGGCTCTGGGTTCAGTCACCATCAGCAATAACCAAGGAATGCACATATTTATTATGTAGAGCTTTTCAATATATACATAACATATAATGATCAAGTTGTGATAATTAGCATAGCCATCACCTCAAACTTTATTTTGGAGTACCTAGAAAGGAAGAATTTGAGTGTTCTCCTGCACTCAACTCTTTAACATTCAAGTCCCTGCCCACATGCTATTTACTGTCCTTATTCCTCCATCCCCCATCTCCTAGTCATCTTTTAACCTGTAACCCTCTTTAGGTTTATTTGCTGTATTTAGACCTAGTCTGTCCTGGCCAAGTCCTGTCCTGAATGGTGAGAACAGAGTGTGACTCAGACCAGGTACTAAATTTGTGTGACTACACGTGAGAGCTTTCCATACAGCCCTCATTAACTTCTCTGAGGATCACAACTCTGGACTGGATAGGACACTCAGACTTTCTCAGATTGGTATTTTAGAGCTTAATTATATGAGCCCTTGCCTGTCAGACTGAGGAGCTGTTCTGCATGAACACATAAAGATTTGGAGTTCAGAATACCCATGAGGGCTGCTTTCCAGGCTGCTTAATTGAGCGTGTTTCTTCCAAAGAGCTGTGTTGTATTCTGCAGCTGTGGCCTGATCAGAGAGAGAGAAAGCCAAGCTCCATAGGATTTTCTAGTAGAAAGAGTCAGGAAGAGAGAGCTTATGTACAGAAAAAGGAACTTCAATTCAAACATGTGACATAAATTGAACTTTCAGTTATCTGTATTTCCTCTGTGGCCTGTATGATTCTTGAAATAATTAACCAAGGTAGCTAATTTAGGAGTGTGCATAGGTTTTCCCTGTGAAAGTTTGTAAGTGATCACCATAAACGTGTCATGAGCTCTTTTCCTTCTCTGACCCTGACACACACATACCTCTCACCCAGTTGCCTGCTCCTGTTGACCACCTCTTCACCTCTGCCTCAGTGTGACCTCTCCCAGGAAGCTGTGGGTGTTCCTGATATGTAGAGCTACAAGATTCTTCATCTGTTGTTGCAGTTACCACATTTCATTATAATGCCCTGCTTATTGTTTCTCTACATACAAACACTTTTCAACCGTACTGTCTTTATTGCCTTCATGGGGATCTTTTAGACATTTTATTAAGTCACTACCAAGCCCTCAGAATTCCAATACAGATACATTGTATATCGATCTGCTTATGTATGTTATATGTGCAAATATATGTCTGTTTTAAATAGAACTGTAAATTCTTTTTTAATTCTGTTATATATATATATATATAAACCACTTATTATTTTTATTTTCATACTCCCCATTATTCCATGCTACCCCCTTCCTTTTCCTCCAATTGCTGTCTTTTTTTTTCCACTTAGACCCCTAGTGGCTACGCCATTAGAGAAAATGATACGTGCTCCTCTAGCAGTTGTTAACAGTCATTAGCTCTTCAGGAAGGGACTAGGCCTCATGAGCATCTCCTGTATCCATGGCGGGAATCTGGAGGGCCCAATCTTGTGAAGGTTTCCATAGCTACTACTTATGCTTGCAAGAGCAATGTCAGATCTGGGTGGCATCAATAGATGATACTCTTCCCCATCCTCTGTCTCTTAAATTCTTTTTGACCTTTCTTCTGCAATATGCTCTGGGCCTTCAGGTTTCTCTCTCTCTCTCTCTCTCTCTCTCTCTCTCTCTCTCTCTCTCTCTCTCTCTCTCTCTCTGTGTGTGTGTGTGTGTGTGTGTGTGTGTGTGTGTGTGTGTGCAAGTGTGCAAATGTCTTGTTTAAGACTGAGTATTGTCACTTATTCTCAGCATTTTGAACAAATATGAGTCTCTGCATTAATTGCCAACCTCTTCAAAAATCCATATATGTGCTCCATGCTGAACGTAGAACTGGTTGTGAGTATAGTATAATTATTTATTAGGAGGCAAGAAAGAACCACTGGGAAGGAAGCACTAAGACAGGGGAATAATAAATATAAAATAAATAATAAGTAGCAAAGTATGTGCTGCTCCAGCATGAAAAACTTAAATATGATTGGGGAAATGGTGGGGTTTGGAGGGCTACCAAAAGGTAAAAACACATGTAAAAGTGTGTAAATCCCTGTGACTTTGCTTTATATAATTGAAAAATAAGTTTAAAAAAAGTTTGGAATGGAGGTACCTTTCCTTTATGGATGGCTAATTCTGTTCTAGGAAGCCACAGGCTTTTAAGCAAAATCTGTATCAGATGTGGAATTCCTTCCTATGAGTTGTTAGCCAGGAAGGACTCAGAGGCTCCAAAACAATACAGCCTGTAGTCATTGCTCTTGGTTT